AACAGGGTTGGTGAAATTCTATATTCTGGAGGAAGTGTGTTTATGCTTCAGCCAGGGGCCAGGAATGTACTTTCCTGCATAAGCACGCCCCAAACACAGAGATGTAAAGTCGCTTTTGTTGCATCTGAACAGGGGACTGTTTGCACACAACAATAAGCCAAAGGCCAGAAGGGAGAGCCGCCACCACCGGGGTGCTAGGTAGGCTGACCCAACCCCTGAGAATGTGCCCATAGTTAGGGAATTACAAAGTGACTAGCACTACAAACTGTAAACCGCCCAGAGACCCCCATGGGGGGGGGGGTTTAGGGCGGTATATAAATCGAATGATAAATAAATAAATAAAAATAAAAATGTGCTACTCGGCCAAGGAACCAGGTGCCTGATTTATTAAACTACTTATACCCCATTTTTCCTCTTAGCTCAAGGTGGCTCCTTGGTCTTTTGGCCCTTGGCCTTCAAATAAAACCACCGTCGGTTGACATATCTAAATCAAGTGCTTTGGGGGGAAAATGCTTTTCCCATTTACAAACCAGGAGTTGATGCAGTGTTACTGCAAGCGCAAGGACTTCTGCTGCAGCACCTGATTCAGACAGAGGAACAATTTTCGGTTTACTGAACAAGTCCTGGTTTGCAGCTTTGGTGCACAGCAGGGCTTGTTCTTGCCACAGCCAACCAAGGCTGGTTGTCATAAGTGACTGCAGCACAGGTGGAATTCCTTACAAGGGTCCCCAGTGTGGTGCTTGTGAGTGCCACGGCACCCTCCAACAGCTTTCCTACTGTCCACCAAATATTTTTAGAAGAGAAGAAGAGATTGGATTTATACCCCGCCCTTCACTACCCAAAGGAGTCTCAGAGCGGCTTACAAACTCCTTTCCCTTCCCCTTCTCACAACTACCCTGTGAGGTAGGGTGGGGCTGAGAGAGCTCTGGCAGAAACTGCTCTTTTTCAAGGGCAGCTCTGACAGAACTATGGCTTGCCCAAGGTCATCTAGCAGCTGCGAGTGGAGGAGTGGGGAATCAAACCCCGTTCTCCCAGATTAGAGTCCGCGCACTTATACACCAAAGTAGAAAGTGGGTGGGGCCCACCAAGTGTCTGTAGAAACTCGGTGGGGCCAACTAGAGCCCTTGCCCAGCAAGGCTTCTTCTGATCGGCTATGCAGATTTTTTTTAAAAAAATCTTGCTTTGGCAGCAGCGGCCACAACAACACAAGAATCTCCCCTGAAGGTCGACTGTGGGAACCCTTTTATGGCTCGCTCCACCTTCTCTGGCAGCCATTTTGCGCCTGCCACGCCCTATCAGAATTCCAAAGGCTCAAAAAGTTTGGGGTCCCGCCTTGCAGCTTCTGAAAATAACTTTCTGAACATAGCCTAACTCAAACAGGACACAGTATCTTATTCCAAGACACTGAAAGGCTGGACAACACATCCAATTACCATGTCAGATTACACAGGGAAGCCATTGAAATTCATAAACATAAACACAATTTCAACAGGAAGGAAGAGTTTAAAGATAAATAGGGCATGGTTTCCAGTCCTGAAGAACATAGAAAGATAAATAGGGCATGGTTTCCAGTCCTGAAAAACACAAAATGCTCTACATCTTACAACAGCACTACAGATAAGATTAGAATTTCAACAGCCAATCCATATGCAAAAGAACCTCCTCAGGAAAGAACCTCCATTAGCATGTCACAGCCTGGGGAACTCCTACAAGACAATGACTCAGCCCTACCCCACCTTCCTGAGTAGATATAAATGACCTGCCTACCATTCTTCTTCTCACACGGACACAGGGAGTACTCCATCTTTCTGTGTTACACCTCTGAGGATGCCAGTCACAGCTGCTGGCAAAACATCAGGTACTACAATGTTAAGACCATGGCCATACGGCCCGGAAAATCTACAACTAATAACTTTATTCTTTATGAAAACTTCAGAAATCTTTTTTTTTTTTTTAAGAAAAACCCTAAACCTTGTAAAATTGTCTAGGGTCAAAAATAACATTGTTTACGTCCATGATCTAATGGCTTATCCCAGCTACGGAACATCAGATTCCTTTGTTCACAGATCATCAGAACAAAACCTGAAACAATACCAGCCCCAAGTACTCTTCTGGTACAGATTCTTATGAACCAGCCATGTGCCCCAAATCCCATGAGTCCTTACAAGACTGCATGCAGACAGGCTTTCTGTTTCCTTTGGAGTCAACACGAGAAGAAGAGATTGGATTTATACTCTGCCCTTCTCTACCCGAAGGCGTCTCAGAGCAGCTTACAGTCTCCTTTCCCTTCCCCTCCCCACAACAGACACCCTGTGAGGAAGGTGGGGCTGAAAGAGCTCTTTCGAGGACTGCTTGTGAGAGAATAGCTCTGAAAGAACTTATGACTGACCCAAGGTCACACCAGCAGCTGCACATGGAGGAGATGGGAATCAAATCTGGTTCTCCCAGATTAGAGCCTGTGCTCTTAACCACTACACCAAACTGGCTCGCAACACTGGTCCCTGATCAAGCAGCAACAGCATTAGACACGTGATTAAAATAAGCTGTGCAAACCTCCCTGGCACAGAGAGGCATTAGCCGGAGATCAGAGGTCCATCATGCAGCACCTATGAGAGGGCTTTCTTGGGGGAAGTGCCAAAATTACCAGCCCCCCCCCCCGGAAGGTCAGTAGTTCAGCAGTTCAAGACCCAAGTTGCCACACGACGGAGTGAGCTCCCGTCTCTAGTTCCAGCTCCTGCCAACCTAGCAGTTCGAAAGCAAGAAACTGCAAGTAGATAAATAGGTACCGCTTCGGTGGGAAGGTAACAGCGTTCCGTGCGCCTTGGTGTTTAGTCATGCCGGCCACATGACCACGGAAATGTCTTCGGACAGTGCTGGCTCTTCGGCTTGGAAACGGAGATGAGCACCGCAACCCTAGAGTCGGACTCGACTGGCTTTTGAGCAAGGGAAACCTTTACCTTTTACCCCCAGGACACCTCCAACAGTTCTGCCGCTTTTAAGCTTCAGGAGCTGTGTTTCAAGTGTTCTTTTGGATTGGCTGTATCTACTGTACTTCTTTAAGGTCTCTCTGGTCCCGGCTGAGTCATCACATAATAAAATTTAGTATGTGCCCTTCCATGGGCAAAGCAGTTTTTCAGCCATTGCTTTTAATGCTGTCTCTTGGAATGTTTCGGTCTTGGTGTTTCTTATTCTGCTTATACATTTAGACATCTCTTGCTTTTTAAAAATTTAAACAGCATTTGATGTTTCAGGATCTGACTGTGAACTGCCTGCCTTAGATTTTTCACTGAAGAGCGGGCAACTTTTTAATGAGCCAAAAGAAGGAAGGTCGTTTCAGCTCGATTTGAGTCCAGTAGCACTAGAGACATCAACGAGAATTTGGGGGGTATAAGCTTCAGATACTTACTTTGAAGAACGAACTTACTTTTAAGGCCATCTTGTCAATAACTCCACAATAAAAGTGGCAATGGGCCACCTTCCCACAAGCACTGCCCACAAGCGCTGAGAGCCAGTTTGGTGTAGTGGTTAAGTGCGCGGACTCTAATCTGGGAGAAGCGGGTTTGATTCCCCACTCCTCCACTTGCACCTGCTGATGTGACCTTGGGTCAGTCACAAGCTCTGGCACAGCTGTCCTTGAAAAAGAGCAGTTTGTGTCAGAGCTCTCTCAGCCCCACCCACCTCACAGGGTGTCTGTTATGGGGAGAGGAAGGGAAAGGAGTTTGTAAGCCCCTCTGAGACACCTTTGGGTAGTGAAGGGCGGGGTATAAATCCAATCTCTTCTTCTTAAGTTTGAGCCACATTTGACGAGCCCCAAATAACCAATTTCTGGCTTCGGAAGGCTTCCCTGCTCAGCCACCCAAAGGAGATCTGTGCCACAAGGGAGCATGAGCAAGCCCAGTTTAAAATGCACAAAAAGCCCTCAATTCCTCACCATTGAACTGATATTAAGCGGAGACCCCGACGGCTGAGTGAAGAGCCCAGCCACCATCGGCAACGACTTGCGTTTTGGCGACACCCCAGAGTTCATGCTAGGCGTCCCCGTGGAGGACCGCTTCCTCCGGCCGCGCTTCTTCCCGTCCTGCACGTAGGCCTGGCCACACTCCATCCGGATGCTTGCCGTAAGCGGGCTGTGCTTACTGGAAGGAGAGTGCTTTATGGTTCCCGTGGCAGGAGAGATGGTGAAGATGATCCTTCGCTTGCCCTCGCTTTCGGGATCGGAGAACGCTGCGTCCACCTGCATGTCCCCCCGTGTCCCTTCAGCGAAGGCTTTCTGGGAGTCCATGTACTGCAATACCCCTCCCAGGCTCTGGCAGGCCCCGTTCAGCCTGGGGCTTGCGGAGTGCTGCTGAGCAGGGGAGTTCTGCCCGGAATTCCGCGAGGGCATCGCCAGCAGAGAAGGGTGCTGCGGAGTGGAGCTCCGAGATCCCACTGAATTAAACAAGCTTCCTGAACTGGACCCGTCCTCCAGAGCTGCGTGGTCGATGCTGTGGTTAAGCTGGGCAGGGCTGTTCGAAAGGGTCCCATTGGCCAACCCAGAGCCTGTCATGTAAGAAAAACCTGTGAAGAGGGAGACAGAAGGGAGTATCAAACTGTTTGATCACCCCCCCCCAAAAAACCCTACTAAATATATGTACAATTTAAGACCAGCAGAATCCCTTTAAGAGAAGAAAGCCAAAGCATTAAAAATATCTAAAGGCAGCATGAAATATAAAAGTCACCTCTTAAAACTGGCCGATTTAGCTGTCCCCAGGCAAAACTAAAACAAACAGAATTAAGTGGGAGGGGAAAACACGCAGTACAAACCCAGCAAAAATCCCTGGAGAAACAAAGACCTTTTAACCTGGCTCTGAAAACTTAAAGGACTCAGCACCAGATGGATGGATACGGGCACTCCTGGGGCCCCGGACCCTGACAGCGGGCCAACGCCTGTGCTTTTCACGGACTACAGGAATCCTGGAAAGCCAACTTCTTTGGTACCTTCCCACACTGAGGTGGGGTCTCTCTCCCTAAGCATCTCTTTACTGAGGATCTCACCTTCCATCTAAATTGCAAAAGGGATCGAAGCTTTACATTGCATGCTCTGGTAAAAAAAAAAAAAGGAACAAAGCGTTTCGACTGCCCGAGGGAACAGCAGCAGACAGTTCCTGGTTTTTAGAGGGCGATCAGAGTAAAGAAACTCCTAGCTTCCTGGCAATCTGAAGATTCTGAGGGGCGGAGATGTCTGCTCCCCCCACCACCACCACTGCACAGGTCTTGGCAGGAAGGGACTCACCTGAGGTAGCCAAAGTCAGTGGCTTGTTGGCAGCAGCACCGCTCACGCCGTTATGAGAACTAGCACCATATTGTTTGTCAAGTGTTGAAAAGGAGTCACGGTTCTGGTGGACGGGGCTCGGTGTGCTTCTCTGGGGGGGGGGGAGGAAGAGGAAGAGAAAACAGGCAACTTCAGTGGGTGAGCGCTGTCTGCTGTTCGCTCAAGGCAGCTGGATCGCAGACTGGTGGCGACCTCAGAGTCAGTGTGAAGGGGTTCAGAACGGAGCCACCCGCAGCGAGGAAAGCCTGACCCGCCCCTAAAAGGCGACTTCTTTTCTTTTCTATTACTGTTCATTCCGCCCAGTGGTCTTGAACAGCCGCTGAGTTTTTTATGTTTAAGCAACGAATGGAGAGCTGCCTACATAATGGGATCGCCCCAACAGAATATGATAAGGTTTCTGCCATTGTTTTAGAATGTCTCTGTATTTCTACAACAGCAGCCAAAAATCTAGTAATGTAACCCATCCATCTACATTGCTCAATAGCCTAAAAGTCTCAGCAGTTGGAGAAACAGAGCCCTTACTAAGTAGGGGGGAAATTAGCTCCTGCCTAAGTTCTAAAAATTAGGGCAGGTTAAAAGTATGGCGTCAACGGATTCGGTGTGATTGAGGCCGCAAAGGCATGTTCTCTCCAAATATGGAATACCAGCATATCTCCCAGTCAAGACTTCAGATGGTGGAACGTTGAAACTTTCCAACGTAAAGGCGTGTCCGTATTTAGGATATGTTAGATCACAAAAATACATTAGGATGCTAACTGGTAAGGGAATGCCAACTGTGAAGGTTGAGCAAACTCTACTTGACCTTATTGCGGTACTTTTATAATCCAGATGTGTCAAACGAATTACTGCAATTTACACAACCCTTCTCAGAATGCAGACTATATTTTTATTACCCAAATAGTACCCTAAATCAGGATCTAAAAAAACAAAAACAAAACAGCCCAAGGCTTTGCACAGTGCATTTAAAGTCTGTGCTAGTCTGGGCCTCACACTGATGAACCTGATAGCCTTATCAAGCTGGACTGAAGAAGATTGGATTTATACCCCACCTTTCACTACCCGAAGGAGGGCAGTTTACAATCCCTTTCCCTTCCCCTCCCCACAACAGAAACCCTGTGGGGTAGGTGGCGCTGAGAGATCTCTTTTGAGAACTGCCCTTGAGACAACAGCTCTGAAAGAATTTATGACTGACCCAAGGTCACACCAGCAACTGCACGTGGACAAGTGGGGAATCAAATCTGATTTTTCCAGATTAGAACCCGTGCTCTTAACCACTACACCAAACTGGCTCAAACTGAGCCAGAAGGTAGAACGTTACCAGGTTCTGAACCCCCGAGGACTGGCTTTCAAACCTTAAAGGGAAAATTTTAAGGAGTCCATGCCATGCATCAGAATCTAGACTGGGTGATCTACCTTTACCTATCGTACGACATCTTACCCTATCCTTCCCACTTAGGGAGCTCAGGATTCTTCCTTTCTCCATTTTACATTCACAACAAACCTACACGTTAGGCTATACAGAGAGAAAGAAACTGGCCCAAGGTCACCTGTCGAGTTTCACAGCCGAGTGGGAAGGTGGGGGGGGGGGGGGGGGGGGGTGTCTCTCAGGGGCAAGTCCAACACTCTGACCACTACCCCGCACTGTCTCCCATTAACACCAAGCGAATTCTGCAGTTCATGGTCCCGTGGATGTGGTGAAAAGTCTTCCAAGTCAGTGGCCTTCAGCCCTTCCAGACCTGGAAGTGCGTGGCAGGGAGTCACACGGCGCGGTAGCAAGGGAAGCGCGAGTGGCACGGCGAGAGAGAACCAGGAGACACAAGCCACGTGCTCTGATGTGGACCACGGCAATAAGCAGGCTGAGGGCCAGAGCCGAGGAGGAAACCTCTCCATGATGGAGCGACCTCACGTGACCGCCCTGCTGCTCATTTCGACGTGCCTAGAGAGGCGGAAGGGCATGGCACCCTCACCCTCTCTGCAGGAAGACCTCCCAAGCAGCAGCAAAAGAAAAAAAAGAGGCAGCTCCATAAAGATCTGCGGCCCCAGCATAAGGGTGGACTGCAAATCCACCTTGAGCATCTGACCACTGCTGAAGACAACCACCACCTTTATAAGGAAGGGATGGGAGAGAAACATCGAGGAGCCCCCTTTACTCACCACCTTCTCAACACGGCTAGGGAGGACAACGCTGGCCAAGGGAATACTAACAGGGAGCTTATTGGGCTGCACCGTGCTGAGGGGAATACTGATGGGGAGGCTGGTGATGGTCTCCCCGTTGCTCACAGGTGTCCTCTCCCGGAAAGCCTGCAAAACACACGAAGCAGACAACGCCCGGTCAAGCGCTCCCTTTCCGCCTATGGCTGTACCACCCTCAATCCGCCTCAGTCGTGGCGGCTCTCACTTTCGGCCGGGGCTTCCTGGCTTTGCTGCGTGCTCATGGGCATGGGCTTAAATTACTAGCAGCAGTTGAAGAGCTGCAAGCATTCCACCCCATCCACCCCATATGTGGACTAACCAGACTGTATTGCACTGCAGAGTCAACGGCATCAGCTGGCCAATAGGCACGAGCACGCGCACGGTTTTGACCAGCATTCTAAAAGAGTCAGCAGAATCACAGTGCCACTATGTTCTCTTTCCTGGAGCATTACAAGGCAAGGGATTTTCTAAAACCAGGAACCGATTTTTAAACATGATGCTGGCAAGGTGAAAACACCAATCTCTGGGACTCTGCCCTCGTGGCGGCTACCAGTTCTTTAGGCATGTTTTTTTTTTTTAACGAGAACTGTGCTAAGCATTTGTTATACATTTTAGAACATGCCCGGCAGTGTTCCCTCAAAGCTGAGTTAGTGTGAGCTAGTTCACAGTTTTTTAGCCTCCGGCTCACAGATTTTTGTCTTAGCTCAGGAAGGAGGGCTCCAGAGCAAACTGATTTAGGCAGTAGCCAAATCGCTCACTCACAACTTTAATGCCCATAGCTCACAAAGCAGAATTTTTGCTCACAAGACTCCACAGCTTAGAGGGAGCACTGATGCCCAGCTAGGCCAGAGAGGTTCTTATGCGTGTTCTCTGGTTTACTTACAATGGTAACCAATGCTCCCTCTAAGCTGTGGAGTCCTGTAGGGGTGTGCAAAAAAAATTAAAAATCGGCCCGATTCGGATTTGGCCGAATTGGGCAGAATCAATTTCGGCCGCATAAAGACTCCTGCATAAAGACTCCTGCATGTCAATTTCAGCAGTATTCAGGAGTCTTTCCGCCAGCCGAATGTCAGTTTCAGCCCCATTATATCCTATGGGCCATTGAAGTCAATGGCGAAAACATAGGGTATATTCTGGGGGCTGGAGGGGAGGGAGGTGGGAGGTGGGAGGGAGAGGCTCCAAACCCACAGGGTAGCTGCTGGAGCCTCTCCCCAAGATACCAACCAAGTTTGAAGAACATTGGACCAGGGGTAAAAGTAACTTTTTCCCCCACCACAGAAAACAATGGAGGGGATAGGGGCAACCTGTTTGAGGGTCCATAGAATTGGACCCCTACAGCTTCCTTACCTTCTCGTTAGGAGCTGGCAAAGCTGCCGGTGAAGAGGGACGGGGTTCCTGAGGGCTCATCTTTATGCCGTTTGGTATCGTCGGGCTCGGAAACGCGACACCATTCTCTTTTATGTGCTCGGATCTGAAACAAAGAGGCTGAAGGGTTAATACTGGCCTTGGCAACAACAGCAACAGGAATGTTTGCGGAGGAGCTGAGGCTGGCTGGCTGGCTGGCTGGCAGGAGACCTCCTCTGAATGAAGGTGATTTTGCTGGCTCGGGCTCTGGAACGGCCACCTAAGGAGCTGGTATGCGATAAGAGAATCACAGCTCCAAAGACCCAAATGCAAAAGAAAAAGCGAGCTGTATGCAAGCGCTATACAAAATCAATGCTCAAAAAACATGGAAAAAAGCTTTATAGTGCTGCTATCAAACCATGTATAAATGACAATGATACAAAAAAGGGAGGTCCAAAAAAGTGCAGGCTGGCGGGGTTTTCCGGAACACAAGTTCGTTTCGACTGGCTTCATCTGAACAGCAGGAAGGAGGAGGAGGAGGAGGAGATTGGATTTATACCCCACCCTTCACTACCCAAAGGAGTCTCAGAGCAGCTTACAAACTCCTTTCCCTTCCCCTCCCCACAACAGACAGCCTGTGAGGTAAAAGAAGAAGAGATTGGATTTATACCCCCACCCTTCACTACCCAAAGGTGTTTCAGAGCGGCTTACAAACTCCTTTCTCTCCCCCTCCCCACAACAGAGACCCTGTGAGGTAGGCGGGGCTGAGAGAGCTCTGACAGAGAAACTGCTCTTTTTCAAGATCAGCTCTCATCAGAACTACGGCTTGCTCAAGGTCATCCAGCAGGTGCAAGTGGAGGAGTGGGGAATCCAACCCGGTTCTCCCAGATTAGAGTCCGCGCACTTAACCACTACACCAAACTGGCTCTCTTCTTAGTTTCATTCTTCATAGTTTTCATCATAGAGTATGATAGCGAAGATCATAGGACTTCATAAAGCTCTCATCATATGCTTCAGTGCTATATTCTACAGTTGCAGTGAAATATTCCAAAGAGACATTCAGGAAGGAGGGGACAGGAGCCTAACAGGTGTTTGCATTTGGAGCTAAGGAGCTGGGGCAGCAGGTGGTGGGAAAGACCTCGGACAGCCACCGCTGGTTGTCAGAGAAGGCAAGGCTGAGCTCAATGGACCATTGGTCTGAGATATTAAGAAAACGCAGTTGCACCTAGAAGACTGGTTTTTTTAAAAAAAAAAATTATAGAGCATGAACTTTCGTCGGCTAAACTTCATCAAGTGCTCAGGCAGGTCCCGTGTCTGCTAAGCAAAACCAAAGATAGCTTCGGAGGGCAGCCAGATTTGAGGGAGGGAGCTTTGGACTTTTAAATGGTTTTAAATGTTTTATATTGGCGTATGCCCTTGTAAGCCGCCCTGAGCCCGCGTAGTGGGGAGGGCGGGGTATACATTGAATAAAATAAATAAATAAAAGCTTATACCCCCAAAATCTGGTCGGTATCTCAGGCCTTACTGGACTTGAATCAAACAAAAAGACAGTGGCTTTTTAAACTGTTCTGAAAGACACAGACGCGCAGACAAGGCAAAATTCCCCCCCAAAAAACAGGCTTGCCTTCCATGATTGATCTCCCTTAGCGATCCACAGCTACAACAAAAACTCTGTGTGTGTGTGTGAGTAGGTGTGTTGTGAAGAGTCCTAAGGCACCCTTTCAAATTAATACAGTTCAAACGTGAGGTGCGACACACTGGGCCAGTGCTCTGCTTGACTGCCCTAGATAATTCCCCAGGATCTTTTACAAAGCACGGGGATTCTACATCAGCTAAGCGGGGGGTCTTACGTAAAATGTGTGTCAAGTGTGGGCAGCTGTGCCGGTCTGCAGCGGGAGAGCTGCAAGGTCTCCAGCATATAAACTTCTGAGAGTCAAAGAAGCTCCGACCAGAGGGAGTTTTGCCTCTCAAAAACTTGTTCCCCTGGATTGCTGGCCTCGAACCGAGGACGGTGTTTGTGCTTTCAAAACCACACAGCATCCTACTGTGTGTTCTGTGTTCTTTTCTCAAATAAGCCGACACCCCCCCCCTTGGGATCAAGAAGAAACTCACCTCTGATGGTTTTCATTACTGGCTGATTTCCCACCGCCCGTATGGTCCTGGTTCAGGTGCCTCCGCAGGGCTATTTTAGCTGGGGAGAACCTGGTGTAGTCCGGCAAGGACAAGCTCGAGGCCCTGTCCGGCTTCTGCCTGCAGTTGTGGTTCGGGGTGCAAGGGACTATATCTGGGTCCAGGTGCGAGGCTGCGTACTGCGGGGTGCCCTGTTTGGAGGAGGGCCTGCCGAGGGCGTGCTGGATCTCATAGGGGGTGGCATGGCCGTTCATGGACAGTTCGGGGCTCATGCCGTTGATCTGGGGCACCGGGAACTTGGGGCACTCCAGTTCGAGCTGGAACGCTCCGTGATCAGGCTCCGACTCGCGGTGCAGGTGGTTCTTGTGGCGCGGCTGCGCTGGCAGCGATTCGTCGGGAGGCATGTACGACTTCAGCTGCAGGAGCTCTTGCTGCCTTTGGCTCTTCTCGAGTTCCACGATGCTGATCTTTTGCAAAGAAAAAACGAAAAGACGGGATGAGACGGGACGCCACAGGCCTCGTGAACACAGCGCTTTGCGGCAGACGCCTCCTTCATGCTACTCTTCAGAAAACACATCCCGCCTCAAAGCTAACCGCTGGGCAGGCAAAAGACAAGTTACAATACAGAATACTTAATATATGCAACACGAATGGTGACCACACACGATATTCAGATGTGTCGCTCGGGAAATATTTCCCGTCTCCCTTCCCCTGGACATTCTGACTTTCAAGCTGCTTTATCTCAAACGACAACCCCTGATTCAAACTTAACTGGATAAAGATTCAGGTGGGTAGCCACTTTGGTCTGGAGCGGCAAAACAAAGTCTGAGTCCAGGGGCACCTTTAAGACCAACGAAGTTTTATTCAAGGTAGAGAAGAAGAAGAGATTGGATTTATACCCCGCCCTTCACTACCCAAAGGTGTCTCAGAGCGGCTTACAACCTCCTTTCCCTTCCCCTCCCCACAACAGACACCCTGTGAGGTAGGTGGGGCTGAGAGAGCTCTTGACAGAAACGGCTCTTTTTCAAGAACAGCTCTTATCAGAGCTACGGCTTGCCCAAGGTCATCCAGCCAGGTGCAAGTGGAGGAGTGGGGAATCAAACCCGGTTCTCCCAGATTAGAGTCCAGGCACTTAACCACTACACCAAACTTCAGATATCTGAAGAAAGCTTATACCTCGAATAAAACTTTGTTGGTCTCAAGGTACCGTTGGACTCGAACTTTGTTTAACTGGATAAAATGACTGGGGAGGGGCTGTGGCTCAGCGGTAGAACACCTGCTTTGCATGCAGGAGGTCCCAGGTTCAGTCCCCGACATCTCCAGTTAAAAAAGGAACAGGCAGTAGGTGCCGAGAAAGACTTCTGCCTGAGACCCTGGAGAGCCACTGCCAGTCTGAGTAGACAGTACTGACTTTGATGGCCCGATGGTCTGATTCAGTGTGAGGCGGCTTCGTGTGTCGTGGACTGTGGTCTAGACTGCTGTGCACAGCTTGCTGTAGTCGGATTCTATTATGTAATCGCTGTGCTGCTAAGTGCAGGGCTGTCAAACATGCAGCCCAGGGGCCGGATCAGGCCCCCAGTGGGCTTCCATCAGGCCCACAGTGGAACTGGCCATCTCCTGCTTCCAGTTCTGTTCCTGCTGCTGCATCATAGCTTGCTTCGCCAGACTCTCTTGAACACTCAGCCGTTTCATGTTTTAACTTGAGCCCCTAGACTCAGAACTCTGAGCATGAGATTTCTGTGGTGAATGTCAATAAATCAAAAGTAGGTTTGCAGCTGACAAATACACACTTGAACAGCATACTCAAGATTGCAACAGCACAGACGTTTTCATGCAATACTTCAGAGCGAGGGGTGTCAGTTCTCAGAGACCGTTAACAAACAAAATATTGCAAGAGTGCTAATGTTTTAAGCATGTTTTTATTTTAAGTAAAAAAACAAGTCTTTGCGTTTGTGTCCTTTATAAAGTTTATATCGCCGCTACCTGGCATTACATTTTATGACACACATGGCCTGGCCCAATGAGGTCTCATTTATGTCAGATCCGGCCCTCATAACAAGTAAGTTTGACACCCTTGGCTTAATGTGTCATGAATTCACATGGAATTCACTGCCACAGGTGGTAGCAGCTACAAGCATAGACGGCTTCAAGAGGGGATGGGATAAACATATGGAGCAGACGTCCATCAGTAGCTATTAGCCACAAGATATAGATAGGAACTCTCGGTCTGGGGCAAGTGATGCTCTGTATTCTTCGTGCTTTTTTTTGGGTGGGGGGCAACAGTGGGAGGGCTTCTAGTGTCCTGGCCCCACTGCTGGACCTCCTGGTGGCACCTGGTATTTTTGGCCACTGTGTGACAGAGTGTTGGACTGGATGGGCCATTGGCCTGATCTAACATGGCTTCTCTTCTGTTCCTATGACTGGGGCAGTGATGCTCTGTATTCTTGGTACTTTGGAGGGCAACAGTGGGAGGGCTTCTAGTGTCCTGGCCCCACTGCTGGACCTCCTGATGGCACCTGGTATTTTTGGCCACTGTGTGACAGAGTGTTGGACTGGATGGGCCATGGGCCTGATCCAACACTGGCTTCCTCTTAAGTTCTTATGTTAATGCTTATGCAGCAGGGCGTCAGTTCTTTCTGGTTGGTTCCAGAGTGCTGTAATCCCAGTGCCTTGGTTACTGAACGTTCCATTTTGTGGACTGTACCAACTCACTAGGTTGCAATCTGCCTCCAGCCCCCGTGAGACAGGCGGACTATAAACAGCGTCAAGAAATAAAAATCAACAAGAGAACTATTTTAAAAGGAGAACTCAGAGTGACTCATCTGGTGCATTTCTACCCTGCCTCTCCGCTGAGGAGCTCAAAGTGGCATGCCTTGAGCTCCTCTCCCTTCTCCCCCGCTGCATCCTCACGGCAGGCCAGAGGAACGTGACACTGGGTCATGAAGCAATGAGCTCCACAGCAGAGCGGGATCCCCAGATCTTAGCCCGACGTTCTAGGGCATGGGTGTCGAACTCATTTGTTATGAGGACCAGATCTGACATAAATGGGACCTTGTTGGACCGGGCCATGGGTGTCATAAAATGTAAGGCCAGGTAGCGGAGATATAAACTTTATAAAGGACACAAACAAAGTTGATTTTTAAAACTTTAAATAATAACATGCTTAAAACACGAGCACTCTCACAATATTTAGTCTATTTAACAGTCTCTGATGACGGACACCTCTTGCTCTGAGTTACTGCAGCAGCAGACCTGGGAAAGGAAGCAGGAAACAGCCAGGGCCTTGCGGGCTGGATTGCAGTCCTGCTCTAGACACTACGCCCCCCACTAGCTTCTCCACACCCCTCCTGCTGTTAACGAGACTGGATTTTCCAAAACTCCCCTCGATTGCATGAACAGTTTGCCAAACGGCGTGAAGTGGGGCTGGTGCTCAACCCCCCCCCCCCGACTTCTGCACCTGTGGCTCCGGTTGGCAGGATTATGAGGATTGTCCAGGTGCTTTCCAGGCGCTGTTAAAAAAGCCAATCTCTGCCAACGAAGGCCTAAAAGGTCCAGACCTGTGACAGAAGCCTGCCCCCACAGTTAGCTGGCTGTTAACAACCTCCCCAACTTGGAGCACTCTCCCATTACAGAACTCCCTACTTCTGGCAATTTGCCCTGTTTAAGAATGCTAAAACTGGCTTATTCGCCCAGACCTCTTGGTCATTCCCGTCACCTTTTCTTCCTTGTTTCTCTCCCCACCACCACCGTCTCTCTACTTTGGGATTCTGGGGTTAGGTCTAGGAACATGGGAGACATCTTTGTTCGGCAGCCAACAAACCTGGCTGCTCTGGATTCTTGCAAGGTTCCGTGCTGTTGGCTGCCTCTGGAGTCTTGCGACTGAGAGGAGGCATCCAGTGTTCCAATAAACTGGAAGCTAAACTGGAGACCCAGTCTGTAGTGGTCAGGAACATGGACTCTAATCTGGAAGAACCGGGTCTGGTTCCCACTCCTCCACACGCAGCTGCTGGTGTGACCTTGGGTCGGTCACAAGTTCTCTCTGAGCTGTTCTCTCAAGGGCAGTTCTCGAGAGAGCTCTCTCAGCCCCACCTCCCTCACAGGTTGTCTGTTGTGGGGAGGGGAAGGGAAAGGAGACTGTAAGCTGCTCTGAGACTCCAAGTGAAGGGCAGGGTATAAATCCAATCTCTTCTTCTTCTCCTCTTCTAAATCTTACGCATTGCTTCGTGGCAACCGTAAGAGATAAATCCTGCACTTCTTTCCTTCCCCCTGTTCCTATTCCCCTATTTCTTACACAGACTCTGAGAAGGAGAAAAGGTACTATCCAATCAAACAGCAGCCCGAGCTGAGAAAGCCTCTCTGAGCTCTCCGGAATGCAGTGAGGGAGGAGGCAGGTTTCGTCTGGATAGGCAGCCTGTCCCCAAGCGTCGGGGGGGGCGGGCTGCTAAAGGGTGCCAAGGCGATCTTCTGCCGGAGCGGGGGGCTCCCGGCTGGTGTCTGGTGTGTGCGCGTGCGCCGCATGCACATCACCCGGAAGTGATGTGACAACGGCAGGCACGCTGGGGGCGGGGCAATGGCCATACAAGGAAAAACCATAGAGTTTTCCCTCGGATTGTGGTGGCCCCGCCCCCAGCGTGCCCGGCGTGGTCGCGTCACTTCTGGGTGACGCGCACATCGGGCCGGAGTTCCCCCGGGGACCCAATTCGGCGGCGGCAGGGAACGGGCCTTGGGAAGCCTATGCTGAACATGCCCAAGGGCCTCCCATAAAGATGTAAAATTTCCGGAAATTTTGAAGTCCGGGAAAAAAACCCGTTTTTTTCCAGGGGAAAATGGAAATTTTTGGAAAAATTGAAAAAAATGCTACATTAGCACTTCTTTTTTCTTTTCCAGATTGAAAGTCATTCTGTTAC